ATATCTTGGCTTTAAATCCTTTGTATGTTTGGAGTTTGGAAAACACTGAATCCTACAATTCACAAAATAAAAACTCAAAAAAGGTTTGATTATACCTTCCCCTTTCGGTCAGTGCCCATGTCTTTTGTAGACTTTTTCTTAAAAACTCTAGGTTAAGATAACCTAACTGATAACATTATGAGGGATATTTTTCACAGACTAGACAAAGCTCTTCAAGACCCACAGAAAACATTATACAACACTTTTCACAAGCTGAGCACATCAAACAGACTGTCCTCCCCCTAAAAGCTGAACCATAGTTTGTCTGTACAAGCAGCTTATGACAACCCATATTTAAGTCTTAGTGATGTTGTATTTTATATCAGCTCCAATGGAATGCCTGTTGCCCAATCAAATTGACATCAAATTCAAATTCAAATTTCAGGGGTTTTTTTAGGCGGAGACCTCTGGTGACTGTAGTAATTATGACATCCACCCAGGAGTCTGCTGTTTATGTCTTATGTGAAACAGTCAAAGTTATTTTAAGTTATGATAACTGAGGTAACATAACTCTATGTAACATCACATTACATAGTTCTATTTCATTCTTCCTGACTAGGTGGCAGGGCCTTAGCACTGGATATCTCCATATTACGTAGGTGTAGGTCGAGTTATTATATTAACAAAGTCACCTGTGATCATGCATTGATGTAGGGCATTCACCCCAGTAAAACAACAACATCATCACACAATCTGCTCCTTCCATCTACTTGCAGCTGAAGAAGCTCTTAGCAGGTCAATTTGGCTCGTCACTTGTAGCCTCATAACCGGATGGTTGGTACTTCTATTGTTTCGTCCACCAGAGGCTGCAGCAAGCTGATTTCTCAAGAAAGGAGTACAGTCAGACGGACAGAGATTATGTCGCTGTTATGATTCATACTGAACTAACTAGACCGGCGGCTCACCAGGCTCGCCTGCTTAATTGATGCCTGATTCGCTGTGTTGTTAGCTCTCTGCTCTCAGAGGAACGCAACAGTGACAGTAAGTAAATACACTATTGGGTGGAAGGTTAATGGGTATTTGTTAAGGTGACTGATCAGTGCTTGAGTTTGCTGCTACTGTGAGATGGCTTTTGTGTAGAGTGTTGCCTAGTCTAAGTTAGGTTTGTAGGATAGCGGCACAGTGTTTTTGCGGGGCTGACTAGCTGTATTTAACACTAGGACAATAGTTTGTCATTAGTGACAAAGTAGTATTGGGTGTGTGCTACTTTTGTGTTAGGCTATTCATCAGTATCATTGTCAGTGTATTTTTTTTTCTCCTTATTTGTTTAACCCGTTTCATAAGGATGGCCACGATCAATGCCCTGTCTGCTTGGGGATTTAACACATTAGGGCAGGCGTGTTTCACAACCCTTGTATGAACTGTAGGTTTATGCCACTGTCAATACGGTTTACTAGACGTACAAAGATAAAACATGATACTGAATTGCTGTCTGCTAGCATGGCTAATACGGCAGCATCAAAGAGATGCAGCATGCTCTCACATGGTCCTCCTAAAAAACTAGGAGAGGTTGACACTTTGGCTCGTCAGGTTGGCACTCTTTCATCTGAATTTGCCCAGAGCTCCTGCTCAATCTTCAGCCTGATAATAGGGCGCCAGCTTCCAGTGGTGACTCTGCCACAAGAGACTTGCCTTGTCAAGAGGATGATGTGCTATCAGCTACAATCCTGCAGTTTGTTTACAGATAAAGAGGATGAAGCTTAAGATGTGAATAGAGACACAGCCTCCACGACCCTGGGGGCTTTCTCTCAGGGGTCCGATGTGGGGTCATTGCATGGATCTGAAGTTGGTTGTGCCACATTGAAGCCAGCTATTCGGTTGGCTTTAGCACAGCTGGGGCTGGATGAAGCTCCAGTGGCAGCAGCTCCTTTGAGTACTTTTTCAGGTAGACACTGCAGCCCTCTACCTTTTCATTTTCTCCTTCTAAACCTTATATTGAGGAGCTCCATGGGTGTTGGGCAGACCCTAAACTGTTTCTCGTAACATTAGTGATTGCAGGAACTTGGCTGCCATGCAGGAGGCAGGTAGCTGTCCCCGTCCTCAGTGTCGACTGACAGATGATCTCCTTGCTAAGAGTTCTAATATAGCAGCATACATGGGGCATCTTGTTAACTCCCTTTCTTACCTCAACCTGGCTTTGTATCAGACCTTCAGGAATCTGGTGCAGACTCTTCTGCCCAGACCCTTAGTGATGCGTACCTTAAGACTTTTGCCTTCATGTCTAGGGAGCTTGGAAGGTTGATGTCAACAGTGAAAATGGCTAGCCACCAGGTCTGACTAGCACAGTCCCCCCTGTCGGAGGTGTGTCATCACACCCTCCGCATCCTTCCACTGGTACCAGATCGGATCTTTGCGCCTGTTGCTCAGCAGGCACTGGAGCACAGTGTACAAGCAGATCAGGCAAGGCAGAGGTTTGCTGGTCTGCACTGGGGCCTGGGTTCTGTTCGAGGTCACAGGGATCCCTTGCCTTCTGGTCACAGCCACTTCCATCCACCTGCTTGCCCAGGGTGAATGAAAGTGACTTTCCACGTGCAAAGAGGAGCAGCCCCCAGGGGGTTCAAACCAGAGGTCGGAGGGGTTGGTGTCGGACACTTCTCCCAGCAGCAACTCACCTTCTCGAAGAGGGCAACCACAGACCCATGGGTGGTGTCCACACTGTTCATGGGATACACACTACAGTTCTGATGCTGGTCACCCACTCTCTGTGGGGTCAAAATATCTGTTGTCAGAGACCCCCCAAAATCCCTGGCCCTCAGCCAGGAATTAGCAGCGCTCGTAGAAAAAGCCATTGTCAAACCTGTAGAATGGCATACACGGCTGGGTTTTATTCAGTGTATTTTTTAATTCCAAAGACGGATGCCAGGTTCTGTCCAATCCTAGACCTGAGGGGTTTGAAGGTTTAAAGTTTCTGCAGTTCCGAATGTTATGGATTACAGATTTTCTCTATTCAGTGACACAGGGGGCCTGGTTTGTGTCAGTAGGTCTCAAGGACGCCTGTTTTCTCAGGGGATAGAGGAGCCATCTCAGCTACTGTGCCCACTTTGGGCACTCAAGGCATACGTGAAAGCCACTGCCAATTTACATAAGACTGACCAACTTTTGTTTGCAATGGGGGTTGTAAGAAAGGTAAACCCTGGTCAAGACAGAGACTTTCGAACTGGATTGTGGATGTGATCCTACATGTTTACAGGTCGCATGGCCTGCCAGCCCCTAGTAATGTGAAGTTTCACTCTACTTGGAGTGTGTCCACATCCTGAGCAGCATTGAAAGGGGTCTCTCTGTAAGACATCTGTGCTACCACGACCTGGGAGTCTTTATGTACCTTTGCTCGCTATTACCATCTCAGTGTGGCTGCCCCTACAGCTGTGGCAGCGTCCATCCCAACAGCTTATGTTCCTTAGTGTGGTAAGCGGTCCTCGTGACCTTGCTGGTATAAGTCATCCAGTGCTAAAGCACCGCCTTCTGGCAGTCAGGAAGAATGAAATAGAACGAGAGTCACAGTTGTAACTGTGGTTCTATGAATTTTAATGGGCTTGTATGATGGTCTCCCTAAGACAGTTCTGACAGTAGCCAAAACTCAGGCAAATTTGACCTATTTCAACTAATTAAAGTTGCATAATTAAAGCATCGCCTTATTGCCCTGTCATATCAGCAGAAATGCTCATTTCAGGCTGATTTGGATATTTAATTTTAAAGCTGTTAACTCCCAATGCTGATGATGTGCCGATACTATTGTGCATCCCTACTGATGTTTAAAATAACAGTGTGGTCAATACCAATGCTGATGTTTTTATACTGTTTTTTTTTTGTCGTTTTTTTGTATGTGTGTGTGTGTGTGTATATATATATATATATATATATATTATTACTATTTTCATAATTTCCCTCTCAAATATCGTTCTCCTTCAGACAACTATTTGTGAAGTTTATTAAGTTAAACTACACTTTACAGGATTACATTGAAAACATCATTATACTTTACTTTTGCCCAATACTGAATAGGGCTCATCTGTTCATCTGACTTCAGTCATTTTTATTGCAGCAAAATATGATGCAAAACAGACAGACTGACCAACACTGTTTTGGTGGACTGTGTTATTTTTTTTTTTTTTTCGTGTGCAAATCGCATGTGTCATATCTAAGTTCTCCTTTCCTTCTGTGTTTAAAAAATCCAAAATAAGTCCAGACGTTTTATTTAAACGCCAACGGTGCATTTCTGATTTCATTGTCCGGTGTTTCCATCTTTATTTTGATGAACTTCCTGCTAAATGCCACTGACTGAGACCTCTGCTGACCTTGTAAGGAAGTGTGGATCAAAAAAGCAGTTGATTATATCATTCTAGTACCAAAAGTTGTATTATAATGTGTATTTGTAAAAGTTAATATTACATATAATAAAAGATCGATACTTGGCTTCTGCCTCTACAATACTGGCATGCAAAATATCACAATACCATGGTTTATCGTTTTTTTCCCACACCCCTATGAGCGGTGTGAGTTTCCTCCTGGGCTCAACTACTTCACTTGTGGATTGATATCTACTGCACATTCATTTGTTGTTCTTTAAGGCATAACAGTGCTGTTATCACTGCACCTCCGTTCTGTTATATCTGTTCCTGTCTCACTTGGGAAGGCTCTCTGGCTTTTAGTCATAACCTCATGGAAAGACATGGAAACATCTTCCAGCTGAATAAACAATGTCCATACACCGTATAAGCATATCTGCTGAAATATATTGTTTTAGTGATTTCACCATGTAGGCACAAAAGCACAACATTAATCTTTTGACCCAGTTCTGGATGAGGCTTGTTACTGTGCAACATTATCAAGCCTTTGTTTTTCTCCCCAGATGCAGAAATGAACATCTGTGATTTTACACTTCAGTTCTTTTCCTGACAAACATGGATTTTCTGTCCAACTTTCCACTGCTCATTCTGTTCTTTGTCCTTTTATTTCTCCAGAGTTACTGGGGGTGAGCTGTTTGAGGACATTGTTGCCAGGGAGTACTACAGTGAAGCTGATGCCAGGTCAGTCTAATCTTTGTTTTATTTATATTTCTCCTTTTACTGTATGAATGTGATGTGAATTTTGTTTAGTCTATGTTGGCACCAAAGGCATAATCAAGCAGATACACACTATAAAACAGCTAACAAAATGATTTACATGCACATTATGAAACTGCATATTGACTACCTGTCAGCATGTATGTGAATTATAACATACACACACACAAAATACAATCCCCCTCATTATACATTGCATATATGTTCAGTGTGTTGCTGTCTTTGATATGCCTTTTAAAGTCAAAACCTTTAGTTCTACATTTCTTGTTCTGCCTTTGTCCTTTAATTATGAATCTGCTTTTCCCATTTTTACCCTGACTGCCTACTAAAAATCTATTCAAAAAGAACCCTGTCTGGGCCTTTCCATTAAAGTTCCACTTAAGATTTTGTTTATAGCAGTCTCAGAACCCACTGACTATCAGACAGACAACGATAAGCCTCTGGGGGCATTTCAGTTAGCTGGATTGAACCATTCTCATTCCCAGGTTATCAAATACTAGGGTTGGGCCGGTGTGAAAATTTTCAAACTGGTTTAATATTAAGCCAAACACCAGACAGGACAACTATAGCTTATTTTACTAGGTTTCGCACTTGATTCAGCAGCTGCTCCTAAGTGGAATATAATGTCATAGGGTCTCAACAGAAAATTGGCGTCTGACTATCGCATAGCATTGCATAGGATCACATAGGATCGCATAAAATCAGAGCTGTCTGTCCACTGTGAATCCGCTAAATATGCACTGCTGTTACTTCATGTAAACAAACCACATAGCTATCAGTTGTTTGCTCGAGATCAGACTGGAGATGTAACCACTTAGAGGTGAGTGAGAAGTCTACCTGCTATCTTCCTGCATTTGGAAAGTTACTTTTTAAACAGAAAACACACATTTTATATAGTGATATTTACTGGAAGAGATATACAAAAGAGCCAACAGCAAGCAGCCTAGTTTGTTATCAGTGATGTTCATTTAACTTACCAGAAATTTTCAGCTCTTGTGGCGATCTCCCTCCAGTCAGCTGATACCTTTATTAAGGTTTTTGTAGTGAAATAAGGCGACTTTGTATTGATAATTCCTAATTTCAAAGTAATGAATAAGCTTTTCTTTGTTCATTGCGGTGCATTCAAAGCGAGCCACAGAAATAAATGGAAACACAGCGTCCGACAAAGTTCAGCTTAAAACAATGCCTGCACTGAGTTAGGACACATCTTTCATCGGCTTAAAATCCAAAATGTTGTCATATCAGTGCAGTACAGCCGGTTGCTGTTATTGTTAAACAACACCCAGTGGCGTCAGGAAGAAACATGTCGGGACAACAACATAAGTAAAGGGGGCGAAAGTCTGAGTAGGGCGGGTGGTAGTGGTGGTGGATGGGTCTTTCACCCGGGGGACCAGTGATTGCTTCCAAAATGATTGTAAAGCCAAACTCTGTTCATTTTTCCTAAACCTAAATATATGCTTTTGTTGGCTAAACCCAACCATATGTGTGTGTTGGCGAAATGTAACCACAAGCGTTTGTTTTTGAAGGAAAAAAACATACATTTGCGATGTTGCACCAATGTATTGTGTTTATTTTGAAAGAGACTAAATCCAAACTGTAAATTTTCTGTGAAAATGGCAGTGTATTTTGAAAACAGACAAATCATGTATCAGGCAAAAGTTGACACAGTATCCCAGAATGTCAACAGCCAACACACCCATGGTACCTTGCACCTCATATATCGATGTGTCAAGTCCATGACCAAGCGTTGATATGTGACAAGGTCAGAGTGAGAATGTGTTGTCTCGTCACCCCAAAAAACACACAAATTTAGTAAAGTGAACGAACACAATTTCATGTCAGCTTGAAAGACACATAAGTTCATTCACACAAACAAGGAGGATCTGGATTCTGTTTTTTGTGGTGGATTTTATTGATCTATAAATTTTTTTAAAGTTGTGCCCTTTGTATTTTCCTCTAATTGCTTCTTTAATTGCCTAAAGAAAACAACAATGTGCTCTTTCCAAGAGTGACGCCAAGATCGATATTAATATCAGTCTCGTGTTAATTGCTGATATGTTTAGCCTTGCTTAGTATAAAGACTGGAAGAAGGGGCAAATAGCTAGCCTGGCTCTGTCCAAAGTTCACCCCTTAAGCTCACTAATTAACACTTTGTCATGTTTACATTTCTGTTATTGTAGATTAAAAAAGGGGTTACAATCTGTGCCTCTAGGGCAAGTTATGTGTTGGAAGCATTTCTTCTAACAGCCGGGTGCATTCACTGTGTATGCAGAATCTCAGAATCGTGTCAGTGTGACGTTACCAGGTTTGGTACGATTATGCCTGCACAGAGACTGGGGCTGGGCAATATTGTTTAGAAATAATGATGTGATATTTTTAGACTATATCGCAATGCATGATACATATCTTGATATTTTGAAATCTCCTCTTAACTACTGTAGACTACTAATATACAAAATTATTAGATGAATAGCAGTTACAATAAAGGTAATAAAAAAAGTACATATCTGTTACTGCAGTGCTGTTAAATGTGAGGATACACTGTGAGTAGGAAACAAACTAATAGCTCTCCAGTTCATATATTAACAATATTCGCAAGTCTCATTGGTGCTCCATGGTCACAAAATGCACCAAATAGTGCAGTCTGGAGATGCCGCATAGTGTTGGGCAGATGGACAAACAGTTGTTTAAGAAGTAGTTTTATCATCTAATCACCAGGCTAGCTGTTTCCCCCTGCTTCCAGTCTTTATGCTAAGCTAGGCTAAGTGCATCCTGACTCTAGCTCTGAATGTAAAACTGAGACATGAGGCTGATCCTCTCAGCTTGCTCTTGAAAAGAAAGTGAACAAGCGTATTTCCCAGAATGTTGAACTATTTCCTTCAAACTTTTTGTCTGTCGATCAGGTGTTGTTATTTTATGTGTTTGGTGTGTTCAGTCAGCCTGTTCTTGTTCCTTTGTTTCCTGATGTTTGCCTGTTCTCCCTCTTCCTCTTCTTTTTGCTTCTGGCCTGGTCTCTCTCTCCTTCACAGTCACTGCATACAACAGATTCTAGAAAGTGTAAATCATTGCCACATTAATGGCATAGTGCACAGGGACCTTAAGGTTAGTAAGTGACAACAGTAACACCTAACAGACAAAGGCCTGCCAACCTGTGGCACCTTGCCTCGCTCCTCTACTGCCTGATAAACCTTTCACTGAGTGCCACCTTCTCCAAACCAGTCACTCTCACACTGCACCACCTGACAGTGTGTTTTTTAAATCCACCTGCTGCAGGGCATTGTGGGGCAGGTTGGCTGGAGAGGAGGCGGCAGGTGGGGAAGTATCAGGGGGGCGGTAGATCTCATCATGGCCTGCCCCTCCTGTATGCCAGGGCACAAAGTGCATGTAGCATCTGTCCAGAAACATGCTCTGACACAGCCACTGAGAGGCTGTCACCTGAGGGACAAGGACGAGGAGGAGAAGGAGAAAACGGGGTGGGACATTTAGATACCTGCAGAAATCTATGGCAATTTGTATTCCAAATTATGACACTGGAGTTGTGCTAGTACCACAGTTTAGTGTTTTATTCTAAAAATACTGATCTGTACTGTGTTTCAACCTAAAGCTGATCCACTGTCACTAGGCATCATTACATCAATGTTTACACAAGGATTATATGAAGGAAATATTTTCTATCGTCTTCAACCAGTCTTGCAATTGTGATTTAAATTAGGTTCTTTTATTTGTGATATTGATCATTTAAAACAAGATGTTTATATCAAGATCATCACAAATCAAATCAATCACAAACCTACAGACAGAGAAAGAGAGAGACAGACAAAGTTTGGACACACCTTCTCATTCAATGCGTTTTCTTTATTTTCATGACTATTTACATTGTAGATTCTCACTGAAGGCATCAAAACTATGAATGAACACATGTGGAGTTATGTACTTAACAAAAAAAGTGAAATAACTGAAAACATGTTTTATATTCTAGTTTCTTCAAAATAGCCACCCTTTGCTCTGATTACTGCTTTGCACACTCTTGGCATTCTCTCCATGAGCTTCAAGAGGTAGTCACCTGAAATGGTT